GTAGTGATGGCAAAGATGTCCCTGAGAGAGGAGTGCTTCAAGAATGGGATTCATTTCAAAGCACATGAGAATGAAGCGTGACACAACTGGATTTATCATAAAGGTCATGTGACCTTAGAAAGATTCGCTGTAGGGATTCAGGGCAGGATGTCAGAGGGTAGCTGGAATGTGAGCAGGGCTAGGGGAGACAGTGTGCTGGACTTAATTCCCCAGTGGCCTGTGGCACTTTCCAGTTTCCAGAATTCACTTACAAACTGCTTCATCTTGGTTGAATTAAATGGTTCACAATGACAGTAGAAATAAGAATTCTTTGGGCTTTTGGTTGTGTCATTAAAGATGGTGCAGAAAGTCTACAGAACTGGAGTTAGAGGGACTAGGTTACAGTTCAAGGTGCCTTATTTGCTGACTGTATGATCTTGGGCAAGACATTTACCAAAGCAGGCTTCTTTTGTTATGCAGGCACACCTCAGAGATATTGAGGGTTCAGTTCCAGACCACTGCAATCAATCAAATATCACAATAAGGCAAGTCAGATGTTTTTGGTGTCCTGGTGCATATAAAAATTATGTTCACACTATACAGTAGTCTATTAAGTGTGCAATAGCATTATGTCAAAAAAATACATACCTTAATTAACAAATACCCTATTGCTGAAAAATGCTAACTATCACCTAAGCTTTCTGTGAGTCATAATCTTTTTTGCTGGTGGAGGGTCTTGCCTTGGTTTTGATGGCTGCTGACTGATCAGGGTGGTGTTTACGGAAGGCTGGGGCAGCTGTGGCAATTTCTTAAAATAAGAGAACAGTGAAGTTTGCCATACTGATTCATTCTTTCTTTCATGAAAAATTTCTCTGTAGTGTGTGATGCTATTTCACAGCATCTCAACTACAGTAGGACTTCTTTCAAAATTGGAGTCAATTCTCTCTAACCCTGAAGCTACTTTTTCAAAAAGTTTATGTAACATCCTAAATCCTTTGTGGTCATTCCAACAACCTTCACAGCATCTTCATCAGGAGTAGATTCCATCTCGAGACACCAGTTTCTTTGCTCATGAGATGCAGTAATTCATCACATCTTCAAGCTCCACTTCTTTTCCTCTTGCGATTTCCACCACATGTGCAGCGACTTCCTCCACTGAAGTCTTGAACCCTTCAAAGTCATCCATGAGGGTTGTTCTAAACTTCCCCCAAACTTCGGTTAATGTGGATATTTTGATCTCTTTTCATGAACAAATGTAACAAATGGCATCTAGAATGGTGAATCCTTTCCACAAGGCTTTTAACTGGCTTTACCCAGATCCAGCAGAGGAACCACTATCTATGGTAGCTATACCCTTACCACACTATCTATGGTAGGTATTTCTTAAATAATAAGACAAGAAAGTCTAAATGACTCCTTGGTCTATGAGCTGCAGAAGTATGCTGTATTAGCAGGCAGGAATCTCACTATACACCTTCATTGGAGCTCTTGAGTGACCAGGTGCATTGTCAGTCAGCAGTAATATTTTGAAAGGAATCTTATTTCTGAGCAGCAGATCTCAACAGTGGGCTTAAGATAGTCAGTAAACCATGTTGCAAACAGAAGTGCTGTCATCCAGGTTTTGTTTTTCCTTCTATGGAGCACAGGTAGAATAGATTTAGCATAATTCTTTAGGGTCCTAGATTTTCAGAATGGTAAATGAGCACTGGTTTCAACTTAGAGTTACCAGTTGCATTAGCCTCTAATAAGAGAGTCAGCCTGTCCTTTGAAGCTTTAAAGCTAGGCATTGACTTCTCCTCTCTAGCTGTGAAAGTCCTAGATGGCATCTTCTTACAATAGAAGGCTGTTTCACTTTCACTGAAAATCTGTTGTTTAGTGCAGCCACCTTCATTAATGACCTTAGCTAGATGTTCTGCGTAACCTGGTGCAGCTTCTCCATCAGCACCTGCTGCTTCTCCTGGCACTTGGACGTTATGGAAATGGTTGCTGTCCTTAAACCTCATGAATTTACTTCTGCTAGCTTCCAACTTTTCTTCTGCAGCTTCCTTACCTCTCAGTCTTCATAGAATTGACAAGAGTTGGGACCTTGTACTGCATTAGGCTTTGGCTTAATGGAATGATGTTGTGGCTGGTTTGATCTTCCATCCAGACCACTGAACCTGTCTCCGTTATCAGCAATAAGGCTGTTTTGCTTTCCCAGCATTTTGTGTGTTCACTGGAGGGGCACTTTTAATTTCCTTCAAGAGCTTTTCCTTTGCATTCACAACTCAGCCAACTGGTGCAAGAGGTCTAGCTTTATCAGCTTTCAACATTCTTTACTCACTAACCTTTAGTCATTTGTAGCTCTTGATTTAAAGTGAGAGAATGTATGACTCTTCTTTTCCTTGAACTCTTAGAGGCCACTGTAGGGTTATTAACTGCCCTAACTTCAAAATTGTTGTATCTCAGGAAACAGGGGGGCCAGAGGTGAGAGAGAGATGGCAGACAGCCGATCAGTGGAACAGTCGGAACACACAATGTTTATTGATTAAATTTGTTGTCTTCTATGAGTGTGGTTCATGCCACCCCAAAGCAATTACAACGGTAACAGCAAAGATCACTAATAACAGATCACCATAACAAATATAATGATAATAAAAAAGTTTGAAATAGTGTGAGAATTACTAAAATGTGACAAAGAAACCTGAGGTGAGTAGACGCAATGGGAAAAATGGTGCTGATAGACTTGCTTAATGCAGGGTTGTTGCAAGCCTTTGATTTGTAAAAAATGAAATATCTGTGAAGCACAATAAAGTGAAGTGCAATAAAACAAGGTATGCCTGTGTACAAAAGTGGAGGTTATAGCGATAGTTCCCAAATTATGAGGTTCAGAGAAGACACATAGGAATAGGCTTTGAAAGCTATGAAGAACTATGCCCGTGTAAGGTATCCTGTTAAAAATGAGTCCTCCCTGTATGCTAATGCTCAGGAATTACTCCAATATTATATTTTGATGGATTGATGGGAGTGCATGAGGTAAGATTATATTTGGACATAAACAGCAGAAGACTCAACTATAATAACTTAAACACATAGGAGTTTATTTTTCTCCCATAGCAGGAAGTCAGAGGGAGGTGCAGTTGGTTATAGAAGCCATCTAGGGCCTCAACTTCTACCTTCCTGCTCCACCATCCTCAAGTGACCAGGTATTGTTCTCAAGGTTACAAGATGGCAGCTGTATCTAGAAGAATCAGATCAATGTTCCAATAAAGAAGACATGGGGAAAGGTGGAATGTCAAAGGGTTGAAGGGGCATGCCATTGGAATATGACCTTCCCTTAAAGAGTTTTTAAGAAAGCTAACCCCTGCTTTCAATATGGCAGCCTCACTGGCCAGAACTTGGTTTTATAGCTATCCTTAGTCACAGGAAACCTGGGGTGGTAGATACTACCCACTTCCAGTTTCTTTAGTTGAAGAAGGCAAGGGAGGAGGGGTTTATCAGTGGCTTTTGGAAGCCAGTTTTCAATGACTACTACAGAGCAGGGCTCACCTGCCAATGAAGTCTTGATGTGAGAAAGGGAATGGAGGGAGGCGGCCATGAAATACAGTTCTCAGGAGTATCACCTGAGAGTGACCCAACGGCAGGGCTCTGAACTTCTGTGGCTTGAACCGAAACATCTTGGCCATCCCCCACCAAGAAGCCCAGCCCCAAGGCTTGGCTCCTTCTGGCAATCAGCCCCTAACTAGCTGTGGCAAAGGGGGCAAACACATTCCAAGTCCTTGAATGCACTGGAACTGTGTTTAAGGCACACCCCCACCTCTACCTTGTCTGGGCTAACGGATTGCTCACCAGAGTTGCATTGTTTTAGTGATGATTTTCAATTATCCGTGCTCCTTCCCATTAATGGGGAGTTGAATACCTACACACTTAATGTTACTGTACAAGCAATTTGTGGCTCATGTGTATTACTTTCAAGTTCATTCTCCACTCTCTGGAAACCCTGAAGGATAAAGCATTGCACATCTATTTCTCTACTCCGGAAGGATGGCTCCTAAATCATGCCATTTCCCTAAGTCCCATCAGCTAGACGGAGAAACAGACAACCACTGGAATCCAGACCTGAACACCTAGGAAACTCCACGGGGTCATCACCCCACACAGGCACCATGTGCTTGCATACTCCTGGGACTGTGGGGTAAAGAGAGATCAAATACCCTGAGGATGGTGCCCATCATGGAAGAGAGAGTTATTCCTGACTAAGGCAATTTCTAATCCAGCTAAGAAGATGGGTCACAATCACATTTAAGAAAAAAAAAAATTAAAGCAATTTTTAGAAGTATGAATAAGAGCTATTGTAAACGGCCCAAACTCTGTATATAAGCAAGGAAGCAAGATGAATTGACTGGCATGAGTTGGAAAAGCTCTGCAGAGGCAGGGAGTGTGGAACGTAATTTAATAAAAATAAACTCTTTTTTCTTTTCACTCTCTCTCTCTCTATTTTTTTTTAACATACACACTCCCAAAGAAGAAATGGAAAAGTTGTTAGGGTGTGGACCAGGGCTTCTAATTAGCTGTTCTGGTCTGTCTGATTTATATTCCTTTTTGCCTTCGCGCTTTCCTGGGACTTAGTGGCATCCCTTCAAAGGCCACTGTGGCGGGGAAGGCGCCGGCTCTCCCGGCACCTGAGCCCCCGGCCCCCTCAGACCAGGTCTCTCGGCCTGTGGCCCAGGGGAGGAGCCAGGAGAAAACCAAAGCCCAGGTCGCCACTTCTGCTCCTTGACCCGTGCATGTTTCCCAAACAGAGGGAGCCCTGCGAAGGCTCCATGCCAAAGTTGCAAACAGCCACCCTCATTGTCTGCGTCGCCCTGCCGGCTGCGCTCTCCCTTCCTCCCTCCCCTCCTTTCCGCCTGCAAGTGTGAAAATTACACACCCCAAGGCGCCGCAGTCAGAACCCTACCTAGGGGAAATTCAGAGTGTCCTTGCCATAAATATCCCGCTCCAAGACGCCTGACGTCAGAGCGGGGCGGGCGGCGGGCGCGGGGCCGGGCCGGAGGGAAGCGGCGGTGGCTCCGCGGACGCAGTGGAGCCGGCGCGGCGCGGGGCGCGGGGCGCGGGGAGCGGCGGCCTCGGGCTGCGGAGCGGCGGCGCGGCGCGGGGCCCTCGCAGTAAGTGCGGCGGCCGGTTTGTGCTCTCCGCTCGGCCGGGCCGGGCGGCCGCGGGACGCGTTCTGCCGGCACTTCCACGCCTCTCTCCCCTCGGCTTTCTCTGCAAGGGCGCAGGCAAGGCAGCGGCTGGACGGGCGGCTGTTTTGTTTCCCCTAAGTGTTTGCAGGAGCCACCGATGCTCGAGCGGGGCTCCGCGGGCCTGCGTGCGTGCGTGCGTGTGAGTGTGTCTGCACTGGCACATCTGGACACAGGAAATGTCTTTGAAAAACTTCACGAAGTGTTTTTTGTGGCTTTGAAATCTAATTCCCTGTTGTCACAAGTGGACAACCAGAGCCGGTATCCCCCAAACTGACATCCTTGTGGTGGAGGCTTTTCCAGGTTCAGTTTGTGCCTTCTTTGAGGGGGATTTAGCCCTTCACAGGCCCGCGGTTCCCACTTGCGAGCCTGACCCCTGGCCAGCAGGCAGGGCAGGGGGAGCAGAAGGTTCTTGCTTTGGTCCGCAGGGGGACCTTGGGTGAGTGAAGGAAGGAGCATCGCAGGAACGGGGTCCTGACCCTGGGGACCTCAGCACCTGCAGCTGTGGCCCTGACATCGCCAGGCATGGAACTTAACCAAGGAAGGGAGCATCTAGTTTGGAGGCAGGTAATGGTGAAGAGGAGGAGGACGGGGCGGCCAGGATGCTGCCGCTGCGCCCGGCCCTGCCCCGGGAGTGGGATGGCTGTGTCTGCCACATGTGCCTACAAGTGGTGGACTTGCGGGGTTCTCTGGGAACACCGTGGTGCCCCAAACAAGATCCAAACTCCTAACACAAAGAGACGTGTCTGCGCTGTGGGGTGGAGGAAGGGGGGTGAGAGGTGGNCTGGGAACACCGTGGTGCCCCAAACAAGATCCAAACTCCTAACACAAAGAGACGTGTCTGCGCTGTGGGGTGGAGGAAGGGGGGTGAGAGGTGGTGGGGGAGAGGGAGAGAGATTTTTATCAAAATTGAACACAGATTGCTGAGGTCTGGGCTTGATTTAACTCTTCTCTCTCTGCCTTGGACACTTTTCCACAGTTCTGGGGTGGATTTGCAAAGTTCCCGGGAAGGTGGGAATTACACCTCTCTGGGGAAAGAGCCCTTGGAGGTTTTCCTTGAAGTCTACATGGGAATGAAAGCAACTTCCCATCTTTAAATAGTTTAGTTTTGTGTTCTCCCCTTCCGAGTCTGGTGTCAGTTTCTTGGATTTCCCTGAAAAGCTGGCTAATGGAGGGAATGGACTTTCCCTGGGACGTAGAGGAGGAATTGTGCTCTACTGAGCCTGGGAGAAAGGGGGTACAGGGCTGTATGGACCCATCGGCCCTGGATTGCCCAATGCACAGGGCTGCGTGTCAATAGCTGGTTCAACCAAGCAGTGACCACAATGAAAGCCCTTCCAGCTTTGCCTTAACTGTGTCTCTCTGCTCTTATATTTTGCAATGGAGCCAAACTACAATGTTTGGGTGGGAGGAAGACTACTGGACTCTCCCTGTGTCCTAGAAAAATGAGAGAATGAAGGGACAGGGAGGAAATCTGGATGTAAAAACTGACCCACAGGAAGTTTGAGATTTGGGAAGGATTTTTGGAATTATACAAATTGACCCCTAGGGAAGTGCTATTAAAAGACTGAGCAGACAGCAGTGTCAGAAATAGGCTCCTTTAACTTCAGGAGTGTGTTTTCAGCTTACCTGGAACTATGAAGAAGGAAATCACCCTAAAGGCAGAGTAAACAAAAGTGCTTGTAAACAGGGGTAACTGGGTACCCATGATGTGCACGTGCAGGCACATGTTTGTGCATTTGTGAACTGTGCGGTGATGGTCACAGCCTCAGGCATGGAAGCATAAACAGCCCATTTCTCATCTGCGCTGGGAGCTGCATCCCACCCCCATTTCTTCCTTAAACACACACACACACACACACACACACACACACACACACACACACACAACTGTGCTATTATTGTCTTGCTGTCTGGTAGTTGTACGCTCTGGCTCACAGCTCCTGAGTTTCAGAACTTTCCCTGCAGGTCCTGGGATGCTAAGTGAATACGCGTGCCCCCATCAGGACAGAAAGAGGAGAGAAACTTCTGGGTTTTTGAATTTAGAAGCGAGTCAGGAGTTCAGGAAGGGGGAGGTAGTGAGGGCAGGACCAGTTGGGAGGCCTGTGAATGTCACTCCTTTGGTGAGTGTGGGGGAGGCTGCAAGAGTACTGCTTTCTATGGGAGCATGCTCTCTCCCCAGTCTTCCTGCTCCAGCCCTGCCCCCAAAGCTTTTGACACAAAACAGGTTTAAGTCTCTCCTTCGCTGAAGGGCTTGGGTGCAGGGGTAAAGGAGAGGGCAGGCCCAAGTGCAGGTGGTCAGGAGGCTGCAGAGGTAATCAGTGAGGCACAGGCTTGCTTCTTTGATTTCAGGGGAGCCAATGGAAGTAACCATTCTAAAGATTCCTGCTCATTTCCACTATTTACAAATAGAAGGTGAACACCCAGGCGCAGAGGGGACTCCACTGAAGTAGGCTCCTGGAAATACTCTTGTCCCAGCACAGGACTCCCCAGGGATTGCTGAGGGCCAGAACTGGGCTCTCGATCTTTCATCATGCCCGGTTCTCCAGAGGGTCAGTGGAATCCTGACCCTTCTGGGTTTACTCTGAGAGGCATGTCACCATCGTCAGTGAATTCCTAGGCCCCTCATGCTTAGGATGATAGTGAGAATTCCCCTTCTATCCACCCCAGCTTCTGGCCAGCTCTTTGGTCATCTCTGATCAGAACACTTAGAGAGGATGCATTCCCAGGCTCTGCTAAAGGTCCAAAGGGTGAAAATTTCTGGCAGAAAACAACCTGGACGGTGTCCTTGGCTTTGATATCAGATGACCCTCCAGATCTCCCCAGTCGGAGGCTCTGTGTTCGGGGATCCTGTGTCCTTCAGCTCTGGACTTCAAATGCAGCCTTGCACAATGGAAAGAGCGCAGACTTCAGAGCAGACGGCCCTGGGAGAGAATTAGTAACCGGGGATACATGACTTGATTCCTTCTAAGCTTCAGCTTCCTCATCTATAAAATGGAGATAATATTTACCTGACAACATTATTACAAAAATGGTATTTGTGCAAAAGAACTAAGAACAGGGCTTGTAATATTGTAGATCCTTAATAAATGGAATATCATAATTTAAATTTTTCACTTTTTTGGCCATCATGGGTCCATGTTATTGGAAAGGATTCTTGCCCAAACCTGGCAACATGTTCTCCATATTGAAGGCCAATGAGTAAAATTTCTAGGCTCAGGGTACTTCCTCCCTCTAGAAAAGGTGGGCAGTGGGGATTACTGGTGAGCATGCCTGGTCCATTTTCCTGAGCGGTGGGAGGAGGCACCAGGCATCCTGGATATCGGCCTCTCGGGAGAGAAGGGCAGCAGAGCACACTGTATGTGTATGGAGCAGGTGGGCCGGGCAGTCAAGGACCAGATGTGTCTTGAAGAACAAGCCTGAGGTGGAAGGTGGGTTAGGTGGCTACGGCTCCCCAAGGGGCTCAGGTCAGAGGAAGGGGAGACTCTGACAGGCTGTCGAGAACAGAAGCGTTTGCCATTTGTTACCGTTTCTGGTGGGTGTGGGGTGTGGAGGCTACCCCCTGAGTGACACACTGTCTAGGGGAGTGGCTTGTCTGAAGGACAGAGGGAGCATCTGATGCTGCAGACAGCAGCTGCAGGTTCTCTTGGCCCAACTCAGAGCGTCTAAGTTATCCTTCAAGTTGACATTTAAGACTTTGAAGATCACATTTGTTTCTGTTTTGCTCAAGCTCTCTCTTTAACCATGGCCTGGGATGACTTTTCTCCTTTTAAGAGGCTCAGCCAGTGGCCAGCTTCACTTGAGATGGCCCAGATTGGGGGGTCAGTGAATTCCTCACTCCTGGCAGTATCTATTTCTCCAACTCTCTCCTCACATTTTTTGGTTTGTTTGTTTTTTTTGTTTCATTATGAGGTTATAAAACTGCATCGGCAAGATGTGCGGGGAGGAAATGCCTTTTCTTTGGACCTGTGTCTCACTCTGCTAGAGCTGTGCAAGGCTTTTCAGACTATGGGCATTAGCCGGCATGGTGGGGTTCTTGGTCTCCCCTGCCAAAAAAAAAAAAAAATGAAGGTAAAGAAAGAGAAGGAAAGACCCGGGAAAAACAAACTTGAGGCAGTTCTGTATCTCTTTGAATCCTGGCCCAAGAAGAGCTGAATTATTTGTAGGGTGCCCCATGGTTCTGTGGAAAGAGCTTCAGGAGCGAGTAGATCTGGGTTTGAGTTCTGACACCACCAGATTGCAAGCTATTCAACCTCTCTGATCCTTCTTCATCTGTTAAATGAGAACATAACTATCTTCATTTCCCAGGGTTGTTCGGAAGACAAATTGAAATGAGAAATGCAGAGGGCCTAACAGACTGCTCAGTGCTCAGCAAAGTGTTAATGCCTTTCCCCCACTACTCCTGAGCTCTTGAAAGTACATGGGTTTGGACATTTATCCATGAGTCAAAGTAAGTAAGCTGCCTATTCAAGGCTTAACAACAGTGCTCAAAGGTCAGCTCTCCCAGCCTGGAGATGGAGACCTTTAATACAGAAGTGGGGCACAGATCAGTGTTCTCCATGCCAAACAGGTGGCAGCCCGCTGGGGAGCCTCTGCAGGAGTAAAGGAAAGGCCACCAGCCCACCGCCCGTGAACCTGGGCTGTCAGTGAGCTCTCTATAGGGCTTGTTATCAGAAATTGCAAACACTCTCTTGGTTCCAAGAATCAAGGTCAAAAGGGGATAAAGAAATCATTGAACATTAAAACCTAGTGATGATGGCACAATGACAATAGTACCTAACATTCATATAACATTCTACAGTTGAAAAGCATGTGGCTTCATTTCATTCTCTTAACAATCCTATGAGATTGATATTAACCACCTTTTACAGCTCAAACTGAGGACTTAAAAGACCCTGTTTCACACAGTACGTAAGTGGAAGAAA